CTACCCCATATAGTCCGTTTTGGCGCTCCGGACATACCGACTTGACACATTCAAGATACGAAAAAGGGGCCTTGTAGGGCACCCCCGGGGATGCCCCTCCGGTCACACTATCCCAGGGTGAGGCCGCACCCACACCCCAAAGGAGGAGTCCCTAGCTTCCCCCTAAGGGCACAAAACGAATCCCCCCGAAAAATGCGGACTTTGTCAGATTTTGGCCCGAGCAGGACAGTTAGGCGGACGGCTCAGCGCTAAAGTTTCCCTCGAAACTCGACGCACACGACATCGACGGCTTCGGAGCCGCGGTAGGACAGGGAGAATTGCCTCCACGAACTCCTCCAACGGCCTGCAAACGGTCGACCGAGGTAGACGAGGGACACTGCCGAGAGATCACTAGCAGTCACCCTCGACCTACCCGGCACTCAGCCGGTGCAGCCAAGTCGAGGGGCCCAGGGCGCAGGCCAGGCGGAAGTCTCCCTCGACCAGCTCGGTACACAGTCGGTGCAGCGCGTGGAGCCAGCCGGCAGTCTCCCTCGACCACCTCGGTAGACAGTCGCTGCAGCCAAGTCGAGGGGCCCAGCGCACAGGCCGGCCGGCAGTCTCCCTCGACCAGCTCGGCACACGATCGGTGCAGCCAAGTCGAGGGGCCAATAGCGCAGGCCGGCCGGCAGCCTACCTCGACCAGCTCGGAACACGGTCGGTGCAGGCCGTCGAGACAGCCGACCGTCTCCCTCGACCAGCTCGGCACACGGTCGGCGCAGCCAGGTCGAGGGGCCAAGAGCGCAGGCCGGCCGGCAGCCTACCTCGACCAGCTCGGAACACGGTCGGTGCAGGCCGTCGAGCCAGCCGACCGTCTCCCTCGACCAGCTCGGCACACGGTCGGCGCAGCCAGGTCGAGGGGCCAAGAGCGCAGGCCGGCGGGCAGCCTACCTCGACCAGCTCGGAACACGGTCGGTGCAGGCCGTCGAGACAGCCGACCGTCTCCCTCGACCAGCTCGGCACACGGTCGGTGCAGCCAGGTCGAGGGGCCCAGCGCGCAGGCCGGCCGACAGCCTACCTCGACCAGCTCGGAACACGGTCGGTGCAGGCCGTCGAGACAGCCGGCCCTCTCCCTCGACCAGCTCGGCACACGGTCGGCGCAGCCAGGTCGAGGGGCCAAGAGCGCAGGCCGGCCGGCAGCCTACCTCGACCAGCTCGGAACACGGTCGGTGCAGGCCGTCGAGACAGCCGACCGTCTCCCTCGACCAGCTCGGCACACGGTCGGTGCAGCCAGGTCGAGGGGCCCAGCGCGCAGGCCGGCCGACAGCCTACCTCGACCAGCTCGGAACACGGTCGGTGCAGGCCGTCGAGACAGCCGGCCCTCTCCCTCGACCAGCTGGGTACACGGTCGGTGCAGCCAGGTCGAGGGGCCAAGAGCGCAGGTAGTCCGGTCGTCCCCCTCGATCACCTGGGCACACGGTCGGTGCAGGCCGTCGGGACAGCCGGCAGTCTCCCTCGACCAGCTGGGCACACGGTCGGTGCAGCCAGGTCGAGGGGCCAAGAGCGCAGGAAGTCCGGTCGTCCCCCTCGACCAGCTGGGCACACGGTCGGTGCAGCCAGGTCGAGGGGCCAAGAGCGCAGGTAGTCCGGTCGTCCCCCTCGATCACCTGGGCACACGGTCGGTGCAGGCCGTCGAGACAGCCTGCAGTCTCCCTCGACCAGCTCGGCACACGGTCGGTGCAGCCAGGTCGAGGGGCCAAGAGCGCAGGCCGGCCGGCAGCCTACCTCGACCAGCTCGGAACACGTTCGGTGCAGGCCGTCGAGACAGCCGACCGTCTCCCTCGACCAGCTAGGCACACGGTCGGCGCAGCCAGGTCGAGGGGCCAAGAGCGCAGGTAGTCCGGTCGTCCCCCTCGATCACCTGGGCACACGGTCGGTGCAGGCCGTCGGGACAGCCGGCAGTCTCCCTCGACCAGCTCGGCACACGGTCGGTGCAGCCAGGTCGAGGGGCCAAGAGCGCAGGAAGTCCGGTCGTCCCCCTCGACCAGCTGGGCACACGGTCGGTGCAGCCAGGTCGAGGGGCCAAGAGCGCAGGTAGTCCGGTCGTCCCCCTCGACCAGCTCGGAACACGGTCGGTGCAGGCCGTCGAGACAGCCGACCGTCTCCCTCGACCAGCTCGGCACACGGTCGGCGCAGCCAGGTCGAGGGGCCAAGAGCGCAGGCCGGCCGGCAGCCTACCTCGACCAGCTCGGAACACGGTCGGTGCAGGCCGTCGAGACAGCCGACCGTCTCCCTCGACCAGCTAGGCACACGGTCGGCGCAGCCAGGTCGAGGGGCCAAGAGCGCAGGCCGGCCGGCAGCCTACCTCGACCAGCTCGGAACACGGTCGGTGCAGGCCGCCGAGCCAGCCGGCCGTCTTCCTCGACCAGCTCGGCACACGGTCGGCGCAGCCAGGTCGAGGGGCCAAGAGCGCAGGCCGGCCGGCAGCCTACCTCGACCAGCTCGGAACACGGTCGGTGCAGGCCGCCGAGACAGCCGACCGTCTCCCTCGACCAGCTCGGCACACGGTCGGCGCAGCCAGGTCGAGGGGCCAAGAGCGCAGGCCGGCCGGCAGCCTACCTCGACCAGCTCGGAACACGGTCGGTGCAGGCCGCCGAGCCAGCCGGCCGTCTTCCTCGACCAGCTCGGCACACGGTCGGCGCAGCGAGGTCGAGGGGCCAAGAGCGCAGGCCGGCCGGCAGCCTACCTCGACCAGCTCGGAACACGGTCGGTGCAGGCCGCCGAGCCAGCCGGCCGTCTTCCTCGACCAGCTCGGCACACGGTCGGCGCAGCGAGGTCGAGGGGCCAAGAGCGCAGGCCGGCCGGCAGCCTACCTCGACCAGCTCGGAACACGGTCGGTGCAGGCCGTCGAGACAGCCGACCGTCTCCCTCGACCAGCTCGGCACACGGTCGGTGCAGCCAGGTCGAGGGGCCCAGCGCGCAGACCGGACGGCAGTCTCCCCTCGACTAAGTTACACGAAAGAAAAAAATGGAATTGTCACTTAAGCTTTCCGAGGGTCCCAGCCGGCAGAACTGTCTCGACCCGCTCGGCGGACAGTCAGTGCGGACCTCCATTCCTCCGATTTTGACCCGAGACTGAAGGTTCTGTAAAGGGTATATCCCAACTACCCCACCATCTGAGTTGGAATTTCGGTCAATTACAAAAGTCGCTTTTCTCCGAATTCTGACCATATCTTTCATAATTATAGGAGTTAAGAGACCAAACCTTCAGGAAAGTTTTTCTGGGGTCTGGTCTACAATCCCTGAAAATATGGTGCCCCGGGGGGGTCGGGTTCGGGAGGTATGAAAAAAGTCTACATTGTCACTGACTTGGAACTTTCCGACCTCATTGCCATTTTGATTGTATCTTTCGTACTCTTAGGCGTAAGTGGGTGTTCTTGGTATCAAAATGTTCGTCTCGACAAGAGGAAAAAAACTACGTACTACACTCCTCCCCATCATGCACAGAAATATTTCACATTGAAAAAAGGGAGTGTCACTTAAGCTTCTCTCAAAAAAGACATAATTTCAAAAATTCACTACTCGAACCCTGGGACACACAGGTCTAATTTATCCCCCCAGGATTGTAGCGCTTGTCTAGGCCTTTCTTTTGATACCAAACAGGTTAACCTACTCTAAGGCATAAGGCGTGCACTCTCAAAATGGCAATTTTACATTGAAAAAATGGAAGTCACTTAAGCTATGCGAGGGGCCCAGTTCGCAGACCAGCCGGCAGTCTCCCTCGACCAGCTCGGTAAGCAGTCGCTGCAGCCACGTCGAGGGGCCCAGAGCGCAGGCCGACCGGCAGTCTACCTCGATCAGCTCGGCAAACAGTCGCTGCAGCCAAGTTGAGGGGTCCAGAGAGCCAGGCGGTCGGCAGTCTCCCCTCGACCAAGTTGCACAGTGTCACTTAAGCTATGCGAGGGGCCCAGCGCGCAGACCAGCTGGCAGTCTCCCTCGACCAGCTCGGGAGACAGTCAGTGCAGCCAGTCGAGGGGCCCAGCACCTCGATTAAGTTGCACTGAAAAATGAAAGTGTCACTTCAGGTATCCGAGGGGCCCAGCGAGCAGGTCAGCCGGCAGTCGACGGGCTGCACCGACCGTCTGCCGAGCTCCTCGAGGAAGAATGCCGGCCGGCCTGCGCGCTGGGCGCCTCGACCTGGCTGCACCGACTGTCTGCCGAGCTGGTCGAGGGAGACGGCCGGCTGTCTCGACGGCCTGCACCGACCGTGTTCCGAACTGGTCGAGGGAGTCGGACGGCTGTCTCGACGGCCTGCACCGACCGTGTGCCGAGCTGGTCGAGGGAGACGGCCGGCTGTCTCGACGAGGCTGCACCGACCGTGTGCCCAGCTGGTCGAGGGGGACGACCTGACTTACTGCGCTCTTGGCCCCTCGACCTGGCTGCACCGACCGTGTGCCCAGCTGGTCGAGGGAGACGGCCGGCTGTCTCGACGGCCTGCACCTAACGTGTGCCCAGCTGGTCGAGGGGGACGACCGGACTACCTGCGCTCTTGGCCGCTCGACCTGGCTGCACCGACCGTGTGCCGAACTGGTCGAGGGAGTCGGACGGCTGTCTCGACGGCCTGCACCGACCGTGTTCCGAGCTGGTCGAGGGAGACGGCCGGCTGTCTCGACCAGGCTGCACCGACAGTGTGCCCAGCTGGTCGAGGGGGACGACCGGACTTACTGCGCTCTTGGCCCCTCGACCTGGCTGCACCGACCGTGTGCCGAGCTGGTCGAGGAAGACGGACGGCTGTCTCGACGGCCTGCACCGACCGTGTGCCGAGCTGGTCGACGGAGACGGCCGGCTGTCTCGACCAGGCTGCACCGACCGTGTGCCCAGCTGGTCGAGGGGGATGACCGGACTACCTGCGCTCTTGGCCCCTCGACCAGGCTGCACCGACCGTGTGCCCAGCTGGTCGAGGGGGACGACCGGACTACCTGCGCTCTTGGCCCCTCGACCTGGCTGCACCGACCGTTTGCCGA